GAAAGGTTTGTTCCAGAGCAGGGACTCTGGAGACGTTGAGACTTTACTCTGTGATGGACTTAGGTGCTATTCAGAAAAAGAAGAGTGTTTTTGTTCATTTGGTTTTGTCTGTTTTAATTAAGAACTAACATAAAATCATGCCACACACTGATGAGAGATCTAGTAAACTGCTGCTGAGGCATAAGGCAGTGAGAGCTAACTAAAGCACAAAATAGAATTGCTTGCTTACTTTCTGAAAATCTGTGGAAGTTAGGAAAATGGTATTGTCACTTTTACAGAATCAAAACTAAAAGTGTAGGTGACCTGGCTACCAGGAAAGCAGAGGTGGGGAAACGAACCCAGACTGGGCACTGGCCAGGGAAAGGGTCTTACTGGGACTGCGGGTCACCAGGCTGGAAGGGAAGCTAGAGCTGTGAAGGATTCTCCAGGTTTTGGGGGTTTTTTAACATCCATTCTTATTCTAGCACAGAAAGTAGTTGTTTTGGCCAGTGGTGACTTCCTACACACAGCCTATTTCTCCGAGTACTGGTTACGCAGAGGATTGGCTCAAAGAATTAATATTAATCTTCCTTTTCTTATTTAAATTTGTCCTATTACTTGTGCTGTGTGAACAGAAGACGTTCCTCTTCCACCTTCACAGACATGAAATCCTTTCTTGTGTTTAAAGCTCAGGGCAATCTCTCGGGAATATCCAATTCTGCTGTGTCATGAAAATGCTGGTTTCATTATGTATGCATTACTGTTTCATTTTGTGGTTTTGTTTTGCCAGCGTGGGACATTGTACAGATCTAATCATGGGTGTGCTTAAACAGATGATCTCACACACTGTAAAATATTAATGCATCCCTGGCTGTAAATGAAAACAACATAATTTTAAAATAAAAGATTAGAGAATGTCTTTGGCAAATGTCTTTGGGGATTACAATTAATTTTAATGTTGTGGGGGGGGGGGGGGGGAAAGCAGTGCTTTACCTTGTGCGTATTTCCTATTTTAATTTTTTCCAAGCCAATGTTTGTAGGGAAGGGATTGGTTGTTTGAAAAAGATACTCCGAGAGGCAGTATCGTGTAGCTGTATGATTGAGTAAGCACGGGATATTTTGGAGGAAAAAGGGCGAAATACCAAGTCAGGATAAAACCACGAAATGCTTCTGCATGTCAGGTGTCCACAAGACTGTTTTATGGGCGAGTATGTGGAAGGGAGTGGAGAAGGTTGAGATAGGAGCTGTCGAAGTAACTCAGTTGTTTGAGAGAAGGTTGAAATGTGACATGGGGATCTCGGCCTGTGAAAATTCTGTCACTTCGTCTTCCATCAGAATTGAATGATTTTCCCAAATGCGTGGTCCAGTTCAGTTGTGGTTGGTTGGGCTCCAGCCGGGGCTCGTAAAACACCTCAGTAAATCGTTTTGCTGTGTGTTTCCTGTCCAGGTTTGAACTGATGCGCATGTGTTGGCAGTACAACCCGAAAATGAGGCCCTCCTTCCTGGAAATAATTGGTAGCATTAAAGACGAGCTGGATCCAGCGTTCAAAGAGGTCTCCTTCTTCTACAGCGAAGAGAACAAGCCTCCGGACACAGAGGAGCTTGACCTGGAGACTGAAAACATGGAGAGCATTCCTTTAGATCCCTCCTCCACCCTCCAACCCACTGACAAGCACTCAGGACACAAAGCCGAGAACGGCCCCGGCGTGGTGGTCCTTCGGGCCAGCTTCGAGGAGAGACAGCCGTACGCACACATGAACGGGGGACGCAAGAACGAGAGGGCCTTACCGTTGCCCCAGTCTTCGGCCTGCTGATCCTTAGAACCAGAATCTCACAGAAATAAAACACAGAAAAAACACGCGCGTGCATTGGGGGAAGAAAGAAAGAAAATTACAATATATTCAAAAGCCTACTGTACCTCAGTGGATCTTCAGAACTGCCATAGCTGCACTTGGGAGAACCCTTTTTTCAGTAAACAAGTTATCGTATTTTTCTTTTTTCAATATGCAAGCAGATGTTTGTTTCAGTAAAGGACTCCATTCATGGGGCACACAGTTGGCCTTTTAAAACTCTGATGTTAACACTTAATAGCTACAGAAAACTTGAGATCTGATGTCTGTCTCTCTCTCCTCTCTCTCTCCTCTCCTCTCCTCTCTCTTCTTTCTCTTTCTTTCTGTCTCTCTCTTGGCTTCATAATGGGAAACATATCTGCGTGCAAGTTCAACCGTACAGCATTTTTATCAGATCAAAGATATCGCAGGCCAGGTGGCTCCCCGGTACCCTTGCAAGCACCTGCCTAACACTGTAGGTCTTTATAAAAAAAACAAACAAACAAAAAAACAAACAAAAAACCCACAAAAAAAATTAAAAAAGACTGGATTTTTAATGTTGCTCTTTAATCTTTTTAGGAACACGTAAAAGAATAAAAAAGGGCCATCATTCATCCAAGGTTGTTACCATTTTCAACGCTGCCAAATTTTGCCAAAAAACCTGAACTCTTTGTTTTTTGTTTTTGTTTTTTTTTGTAGGCATGGAAGGAGCACAGTAATCAACTGCTCTGTTTAAAAGAGATCCTGACCAATACATTCTATTCAATCATACACTGGTATTTAAAAAAAAAAAATATTTAAAAAAAAATCAAATTGTCTAGATCTTTTTTTCAAAACTGGACAAAATGTGATTATTTTTTTTTCTTGTGATGGAGAAGATAAAAGGGATGGGGTAAAGAAACAGCCCTCCCTCCACCCCTGTCCCCATCCCAATGAATTCTGGACAAAACTGGCAGTGGTGAGCTAAACAAACATGTGCATTTCGTACAAAAAAAAGTCAACCGCACGCCAAAAATGAAACATGAAAAACATGAGAATAACCGGCAGAGATCTCCATCGTTGCAGCCTGCCTTCCTTCACAGGCTTGCAAGGAAAAAAACAGCTAGAAACATAAATTGGAGAAGACAAAAAAAAGCAGTAACCGGATTCAAGTATATTGATGCTTTGTTGACCTTTTCTCTTTATTATTAAGACTTCTCGAAGGGTCTTGCAGTTCTATGTTAGACCATGGATCATTTGCATACACATTGTCTTTTGTGTCACTTTTATAACTTTTTTACGGTTCAGATACTCATCTATATGTCTGTACAGAAAAAAGCTGCTATTTTTTTTGTTCTTTATCTTTGTGGATTTAATCTATGAGAACCTTCAGGTCTGCCCTCCTTCCCTTCCCTTCCACTTCAACAAATTTTCTTATGCTTTGTACTATAGTGTGTAACTTTTACTTCCTCCTTCCCAGTAACTGATACCTTTCATATGATTTGCCATGAACTGTTTAATGCCTTTTTATAAATACATTTCCTCTTTTTTTTTTTTTTTTTTCTTTCCCATTGGTTGTTTTACAACATCTTGGCTGTGTGGGCTACAGGGCTTTTGAGGGGGACATGGAGAAAGAAGGGAACACCCCGCATGGAAACACTCTAGCAGTGCCGTGCCGTGGTGTTTTTAAACCCCGGTTTTCCTTCCTTCCCACTAACCTCTGCCCAGACAGCATGCGAGTCTCTTACAGTGCAAGGCATGATACAAACTCAGGTCAGAAAAAAAAAAGGTTAAATATTTAGTACATTCGTGTTCAGTGTTTATATTCATTGTTGTACAAGGGTCCTACCCCTCCTTCCCTCCCTGCTTGTTTTGGTTGTGGCACACATCCACCCACCCATCCCCACACAGACACACACAGATATATATATATATTTTTTTTTTTTCCAGTTGTTGGGTACAACAGCAGACACCAGGCTTTTGGGTCACTGATTTTTAAAAAGACTGTTTTAACCTTTCCACCCCCTGAACAAGAGCTATGCCAGCTGCAGCTGGTGATGCCCAGCATTTGTAGGGTGGCCGTTGGACACCTGGCTCCGGCAGACCCCAGCTCTTCATCCTCCTAAGGAGGAAGCCCTCATGGAGGGTGCCCCGGGCTGCACTTTGCACCCCTGCTTAGAAAAATAAAACAACAAAACCAAACCAAACCAAACCCACCACGCCATTTCCATGGGGCTGGGTGGAAAGCATGTAGCTGGGGCCGGTGGCTTGGCTAGCAAACAGTTAAGTGTAGGCAGCTATGGAAACCTGTACAAGTACAAGCTTGTTGCTTAAATCATAGACCAAACCTCAGAACAAAAGAAAATGAGTAAGCTTGTTTGTTCAGTTGCAGAAGTCTTGGTGAAAGGGGAGGGAGGGGGCCATCAGAACGTCTACAACCAAGGAGTCGTACCAGTTGCTCATCTTACCTTAGTGACAGCGTCTAAGCCTTTGTTTAGCACTGATCCAACCGAATGATGGCAGTGAAGAGGTGGTTCTGGGATGGAAATGTTTCAATCTTTTGAGTAAGAACAAAGAATTAAAATATACTGATTGCTAGTTTTGACTGGAGATTTAAAAAAAGTTTGTAGTGCTTTTTGCTTGTGTAGTTTAGGTCCCATTATCTTCTCTTGCCTCTGTCCCATAGTTATTTTTCCCTTATAAAAATGAAAAAGACAAAAAAGTTAATTAAGAAGGTATTCTATGTAGGATTTTTTATTTATTTTTGTGATATCAGTTTAAATCACTGTAGAGATGCCCCATAATAAATTTAAATACTGAGATAAGGGTTTTTGAGTATGACAGGGGGACAGTTTTTGATTTTTTTCAAACATTTATCTACCTCACTCTTATTTTTTTATATGTGTGTATATAAAAAAAAATACATCTCACATTTCTCAGCAGCCAATAAATGCCGTTGATACTGGTAACCTCTCACTCCATATACCACATGCTCTAGGTTCTGGAGGGGAACAGTCACTGCCTGTCACAAAGGGTCACGTCAGAATATTTGCCTCAGTTCCAAGGAGCTTCTCGAATTTTTTGGTTCAGATTCATTATTGTGAGGAAAAATCAGAGAGTTGCTTGACTTTGTTTCCTTCAGGAACAGTCTCCCTCAAAGGCTTTTTAATGTGCTGTCATGCCGGTCCTTGGGTCAGCAACAAAACACCACGTTTAGATGAGCAGAGATGTAGCTGACCTGATGAGGACTTCAAATTGAGATTATTTGGTTAAATCTGTTACAGAAATCTATGGTTTACAGTGTTTGAAGGTCCAGAGGAATTGCTGGAGTAAAGGGAACGGTCCTTCTGTTTGTCCTGTAGAATGGGCTAAGTCATTCCTGCCAGTTTTTCCTCAGATGCCACAAGCACCAAAAAGATACCTGGCTGAATCAGCACCTAAAAATAAATTGGCTCATACAGCGATAGCATTGCTTGCTTGACCAAAAAACCAGTGAAAAAACCTGTCACAGACTGCCTGATGACGCTACTACATCTTTGCTGCTTCTGTTTGATGAGAGCACTGATTTTATTTTTTTTTGAAAACTAACATTGGATTGATGTAACATGCCAGTAAAAATTCAGTTCCATTTTCTTCCCCTGTTCATACGCTTCATAACTGTGGATTCTGATGGACTAGCCATCACATTTTAACGGCCCTCTGACAGCATGTAGCTGGTTTACAAGCACACAAGACTAACACAAGCTTGCCATCAACTTAGCAACTATCGAGTGCACCCCCAGCAGCTTTGCCGACAACACCGAGCTGTGTGGTGTGG